AAAACGATCGTTTCAGCACAATTGATTTAAGAAAGCTGTTTAAATGTCACGACATTGCAAAATAAATTTTAATTTTGCCTTTTCTAGACGTTTTGTGAAAACTTAATTAAATTCTGTGCCCGTGTACGTTACAGGCTCCGAAAATCTTATTATTAATGATAAATTTTTTATGAATAAACGGCTTGATGAGAGAATATGGCAAAAAAGAGCAGCAATGCAGGCACAGCGGTGGTCGTCAATGGGTTAAGAAGCTAGTAATGACCCGAACTGCCGGTCTGGAGGGGTAGGGAAGGGGATGGGGAGTACGAAGGGGTGGAGGGTCCCTCGTTCAATGAATGAGGTTAGAACTACGCAAAACTGAGTACCTAAACTGAATCAATTTATGATAAAGGCTCGCAAAGATTATCTAAGCAATAACATAAGTACTGATGGCATCATACCTGAAGCGACGTTTAGTGAACAATTCCACAATATTGTGATCTTCATGACAATGCAGAGAGCAACCATAACATATACCGGCTTCATTATTTGCTGGATCAGGTGCACACGTAAGGCAAGCAAAGAGCGCCTGTCGTGGCTTATACCCCTAGAATAACTACCATGATCTTATTCATACGTGAGGCTCCGAAGATATGGAAACAAACTAGCCAAACAGCTGACCTCGGGATAAGTGCACACCGATGAATCTTGAGCTCCGAGCAAAACTCGTGCAGTTTGACGACATGACTCTTCGTTGTCAAGGATGTCTTGTATGGTCAGCAACTCCTCTCCGTCGTTTTGGTCGGCTGTGCTCTCTTGAATGGAACACTCATTAGGAGAGGTTAGTATCTGCGTTAAGGACACCCAAATAGTGTCATATTTATTCCCAAAATTCTGGTTTCGATCAAAAATTCGAAGAGGCGACAACTTGGGGCTGCGAGCTTGGTAGTGAAGATATGAGAATGTTGGTTGTTTTTAGGTAACTGAAACTGAGATCTTGCGAAAGTTAAGGCGACAGAGTCTTCGATCGTGCTGCTAAGAGCAATGCTAACATCTATGCGTGACCTTCACAAAGAACCAGAAAGTATCGTTGTACATGAGCTCTCTCCGTAATTTCCAGTGTGCATGACGGATCTGTACGAGAAAAAAAGCTTTCCATCTAACTAATATAAAAACCGAGCTGACCTGCTTGGGTTGGACTCAGAAATCATCTCCTGACGCCTCTTCGGTACGACTGCGCTTAATCTTGTCGAAGAATGAGTTGACGTGCTCAGCAGTAATAACACAGACGCCTTCCTCTTGTTTTTCACGCATGAAGTTCTGCAGGTTCCGCTTAAGAGCGTTGATTCCTGGAAAGTCATTATGTGGAGCTCTTCATACCAAGTGGGACGCACAGGTGTTTTCTGGTTTCTACGCTAAAATGTACACGAATATGGAAAAACGTACTACCTTGTAGCACATGTATAGCAGCATCTCTTCCGGCCGTCTGCACGATCTCGTTCACTATGGCATCCGCATCCGGCTCTTTTTCGTCTGCCGTCTTTTCGATGTTCTCCTTCGTGAACTCTTCGATATCATCTTCAGGATCGATCAGATATTCGCATCCGACCCGCTCATAAAGTTTCTGAAGAGATCATGCTGCTCATCCTAATCATGTCAGCCAGCCGCTAGAACAACGATTGAGCAACACGTACCATGCACTCCTCACATCGACATAAGCGATTTCGGAATCCGTCAGCGAGAAGAAAAGGTCCCTCCTTCGTTTCCAAAACCGACGAAAAGCATACAGTACCGTCTCCGACTTCGTTGATGCACAACCGTGAAAGAAAAGGAAGCCGAGATGCGCAATCTTTGCAAAGCTGAATAAAACCAGTATGAGACCCTCAATTGAGCCAGCTGTAGAAATTGGAAGCGGTTGAACTCACCAAAGTGAAATCTTGCTTTCCGGCACTCTCTCGTTCCTCCGCCACAGTAGCACAGTTTTCGTCTAGATGCTAAAACGTGGGTTAGCTGAGCGTCACTTTGATTAAATAAACATTCCATTAAAAGAGTCAAATGATATTCTAACATTCGAAAAAAAGAACGTACTGAGAGATGGAACCAATCCTCGCATGCTACACACTGATGCATTGTCTCATCTGTTTCGTCACAAGGGTAGGTTTTTTTACACACACAAAACAATCCTGCGAAATTGTGATTGTACGCATTGTCCTTGTTGGACTCATCCTTTTCCTAAACTCGAAAGCTTGAGAAAAATGTAAATGTGTAGTAAACAAGTACGTGAGAGAAAGAAACAATCCCAATGTGTCAATACTTGCCTCGAACAGTGTGCATTTCGATTGAAATTTACTGTTACCACAATCGCATCTGAAAACGATCGTTTCAGCACAATTGATTTAAGAAAGCTGTTTAAATGTCACGACATTGCAAAATAAATTTTAATTTGCCTTTTCTAGGACGTTTTGTGAAAACTTAATTAAATTCTGTGCCCGTGTACGTTACAGGCTCCGAAAATCTTATTATTAATGATAAATTTTTTATGAATAAACGGCTTGATGAGAGAATATGGCAAAAAAGAGCCGCAATGCAGGCACAGCGGTGGTCGTCAATGGGTTAAGAAGCTAGTAATGACCCGAACTGCCGGTCTGGAGGGGTAGGGAAGGGGATGGGGAGTACGAAGGGGTGGAGGGTCCCTCGTTCAATGAATGAGGTTAGAACTACGCAAAACTGAGTACCTAAACTGAATCAATTTATGACAAAGGTTCGCAAAGATTATCTAAGCAATAACATAAGTACTGATGGCATCATACCTGAAGCGACGTTTAGTGAACAATTCCACAATATTGTGATCTTCATGACAATGCAGAGAGCAACCATAACATATACCGGCTTCATTATTTGCTGGATCAGGTGCACACGTAAGGCAAGCAAAGAGCGCCTGTCGTGGCTTATACCCCTAGAATAACTGCCATGACCTTATTCATACGCCAGGCTCCGAAGATATCTAAACAAACTAGTCAAACAGCTGACCTCGGGATAAGTGCACACCGATGAATCTTGAGCTCCGAGCAAAACTCGTGCAGTTTGACGACATGATATTCTTGTCAAGGATGGTCTGGTATGGTCGCAACTCCGCTCCATCGTTTTGGGTCGGCTGTGGTCTATTGTGGCAATAGCTCATTAGGGAATGAGGTTGGTATCGGCGTTTGAGGAAACGCCGCCAAGATATGTGTCATATGTATTCCCTAATTCTGGTTTCCGGATCAAAACAATCGAAGAGCGGTATACAACCTCGGCTCGGCTGCGAAGGCTTTTGAGTAGTCAATATGCATTGACAAAGATATAAGAATGTTGGTTGTTTTTAGGTAACTGAAACTGAGATCTTGCGAAAGTTAAGGCGACAGAGTCTTCGATCGTGCTGCTAAGAGCAATGCTAACATCTATGCGTGACCTTCACAAAGAACCAGAAAGTATCGTTGTGTACACTACGTGCGTCGGCTCCGTAATTCAGTTGTGCATGATTAGTAAGTTACAAACTACGGAAGCTGTTAACGCTATCTGACGGAAGTATGGGGTATGGTCACGGGACAGAATAACTTTCGCCTTTCTTACCTTCACGCAGCGCAAAAACTTTCGTTGTGGGTAGGATACAGATCACAGGATATCTCATCAGGTGGACTAGACTTCCCGTAAGCTGAGAGGTTCAAGCTAAAAAAAAAGGAAAAGGCGGCTAAATATCTTAACGACTTGCCTCGCTTACATGTATCGTACTCTGTTGGAAGACGGTATAATGAAAACGGTCTGGTGCGCAGACCGGGTATGTGAACGTCTTCACGGGAGCTGGGAGGGGCGGGCGGGTAGGCCGATGATTCAGGATATTGCGAATCGCGCGATTCGCAAAGTCTGACATCGGCCATAAAAAGGCCTCCGGGACTAAGCCTAGGAAGTAGGGAGGAACTTCGGAGAATACAAAAATCACTTCCGTACACTGGATTCGCTTTCCCTTTCAAAGACAGTCCTGAAACTCAGCGCTTCCGTAATCCTGACGAGATGGTACGTACTGCCCCCGAGCAACATTACGCCTCTGACTGCAGCATGAATCTTTCACCTTCCCGCTTCCTAGAACTGCGAAGACTCGTTTTTTTCTGTTAGCAAAAGTCAATCGAAGTAGCAAAATAAAAAGAAAAGACAAGTGTTATTAAATCGTTTGATGACTGTACTAACCTTTCTCCTCAGAATCAGTAGCCATCGTTGACGTTGCAGCATCGCCTCGTTGCACATTCTCTTCTTCCTTTGTATCAAATTCATTAGAAGAGTCCTTCGCAGAGTCACCCATCTAAAAGCGGCACTTTGAAAATCGACTCTTTACGCCTCGAAACGAATCGCTGTTCAAAGATTCTAATCGGACAGTGGAAGCGGTGATCTTATCCAGACAAAGTTTAACTTCATTCGATCTACAGGAGATCTAGGGAGAAAAGTCATGAAACGATCAAACACCAACGAAAAAACGAGCTGCAGCGGCCTCGGCGATGGATTTGAATTTGGCTGCGTACGCGGCGTCTCCCCTGAGTATCACGGTTTTCATCGTAGGCGCAGAATGGAACAATGGCTGCGATATTGGGCTACCTTTTTTCCCTTATCAGCTTATCAGCTTGGACCGGTTACGTATGAGAATTACGTGGTTTTGCGTTTTATTTGAGAGAGCTTTTCTATACCTGTTGCAGTACCAAATGGATCCATCTTTTAGTATTCATTCCTTCTAGAAAATAGGCGAGCAGTAAGATAATGACGTCTAACGAAAGCTGTTCCTCCTATATTCTGCAGAAGACTTTCCGAAGCAGAATCTAGAGATTTGTGGGCAAATTATTTGGCAAAAAATCGCGTGTTCAGCTCATTACGACTAAGTAAGAGGAATACGCTCCGTGTCGCTATCGCAACATACGGGGCATCTCCTAATCTAAGACTAGGAGGGATAGGAACATCGAGGGAAAGACAATGTCGGCAAACCCTGGAGTCTCTACTGACCTGCCTAAAGGCTTCCCTCTTTTATCAGGAAGAAGATAATTTATGTCTAATTGCATTGCCACCAATAAGGCCGGTTATCTTACGATAGCGCCGCCCTGCTTTCGTTTCCTGATGAGATACGTGTCGCAATTACAGAAACAGTACCACAGGTGGTAACAACTTCAAAAAGAGCTATCTACAGTCGAGATCCGTAAGTTGGGGTGGCGTGTGTCACCGGAAGTGACGTGGACTTGATAGAAGGTTGCGTAGATAAGTCGCTGCCAGCATGCTTTGCTGATATCTCGCGATATATATTGGAAGCACCTTATCCACATAGATTCTATCAAGTACACGTCACTTCCGGTGACACGCCTACCCCAACTTACGGATCTCGAGTATATTGCCTTATTGAAGCTTATTGATGCTACCTGATGCATGTGTAGAATTCGTAATATGGCTGCCTTCGGCCGATGTCAGAAATCGCTGGTAGCGAATCGCGCGATTCGCAAAGTCTGACATCGGCTTTCCACGTTTTGCGCAGTCGCCTTATTGGGGGTGGTCGCTGTGCATCCTACGATTTGCATGCGCCTCTTCCCACTCGCAGTTTCACATTGGAATCGCACCAGCAAACGTGGAATCCGACACCTACCCAAGGTATCTGCGACCTAAACGAATCCGAAGTGAGTAGAGGCGCTAAAAGAGTTTCACCCACTGTTTATTTAGCATTGAATCGATTGAGAGGATTCGAGATGGTGTCACCACCCGATTCGCCGATTCTGATGGAGTGGAGCCCACCCATTCCAACTTTTCGGTGATGCTTCGGCATTTTCTTTACGCGTTTTCGTGTACGCCAATTCACGTGGTGGATACGAATGAATTTCGTTTTCGCTAATTTGCATATTTTTATGAATGGCAGGCGAAGAATGCCAATCAGTGTCTTTGCTGAAGAGGGGAAGTGGGCGGGCGGGTAGGCTCCTACAGCGAACAGGGTTGTTACGAAAGTAGCGTTGTTCTGTGGACTCACCCCTGAACCCCGCCACAACCGCACGCACGTCACGAATGTTAATAATGCAAGCTGAACACTGCTATTTTGAAAGTGACACGAATAGTAATCAGGGGGTGATATTCGCTTTGATGTATAATCATTAGAATCAATGTTCGGCATTTTTTGAGGATAGCACAGTGTGTGCCAAAGCGCAAACGTTCAAGCTGCAGGACATGAACAAAGAGAAGCAAGGCCGTCAATTCAATGTTATTGGCTTTATTGATTGTCATTTATACCACTGTCCTTTGCCCTTGATACTGATGGTGAGTAGTTTCCTGGAAAACATTTCTTGCCGAACTTTCTTTCTCGAGGTTGAAATGGTATCGGTGTCAGAATGAAATATTTCATTCAAATATCTCGATGAAAGCTATCTTCTCCCTTTCGAAACCACGGGTTTCAATCTCAAAAGGATTGGCGCTTGACGTAGACACAAGCTATTAGTTCTCTACGCAAGCGTCCAGTCTAGCGGGGACGGTAATAGGATGCCTGACTGGAGACTTATCTGCTGCAGAAGACCGTTTTAGATCCCGAGGACAGGCTTTAGGCATCCCAGTCCTAACCCCTCTCGGCCCTTTTTGCGTCTTGATGCCATTTTTGATCCTGACCCTTTTATTTCTGCGGTGAATCTGTACCAGAGAGCTTGAGCAGCTTTACAGAGAGACCTTCAGGGGCGCTGCGACAACTTCTGTTTAGTTTCGTTCTCATCGCTAGCTCTTGTGGCGCCTAATTTCTCATATTTCAGCCCACTAGCCATTATTCTTCCCATACTTTTCTACGCCACACTACTAGCGGCATATTCTGGGCACTATTCCAGTATTACCGCCCTAAGATCTCAAAATTTTATTTTCCGTCGAAACTTTGCCTTCAGACACAGCACGGTCCTTTTCCAACGCCCGGGATTACGGAGTAAAAATATTCTTCCGTATATAAGAATACCAAAACAAACCATATCTGTGAGTGTTTTACGACGAATCTCCGGTGACAGCAGCCGTTGTGACAAGATGGCCCAGCGTCAAAAATGAGTATCATATTCGTAATCAAGGGCATGAAATTACCTCTAAAGGCAAAGCTTCGACGTAAAACAAATTTTGAGATCGGGGCAGTATTAGTACAATAGCACTTTACTTTGCCCTCAAATACATGACGTACGACCTCCCCCCATCCGAAATCCTAAATGAACGAGGAATCCTTGACTGTGGCTCACCCTCTTGCCGTAGATTGTGTTTTCAAGCAGCCGGCTGTAGGGTCGAAGTTATTGGATGCAGCTCCTAATAACTAATCGAAGAATAAAGCAATTTTCGTTCAGAAGGCTTATTTACAAGAGGATCTTAAGCCTTCTTGTTTTCCAGGCCCTTGCCTAAGGCCAGCACTTCATGACGAGCGCGGTTGCGCCAGGCCATCACTTGATATGTTGCACTTACATTTGTGAAAAGTGAAGTGTAGAAGTATGGAATGAGAGCTGTTGAAAATTATCAGCAGGTTTGTTGAAATTTTGTCAAGTCCTGTATTTTAATTATGTAGTCAACAACGACGTGCATATAAGCTCCAGCATTTCAAAAATTTTCTTATTTGCGCCATTCCACTCAAATAAGCAGTTATTCCCTGAACGTGTTCGTCAATCTTCGAACTCCCATCGCCTATCGAGATTGTTATCGCATTCTGCTTCTTGTAGTGCTTGTGTCATCTCTATTGCGGAGACGTTACCATTTATCGAACATTTGTGAGCTCAAAGTTATACTTACTGTTTTTCATATTATTCTGTATTGCTATCAAAAAGATTTTCATGAAGTTTCTTTATGTTACACTCTTAGTTAACCGAGAAGGTTAATCGATAATTTCCCTTGATTGATCAAACATTGACTGCTGCAATAAAAGGTTGGATTCTTCCATAGATGCGTTCGATTTAAGTTGTCGGAGCAGCTCATGTAAGCTCCATTATCATTCCTTTTCGATGTTCTCCACGCTATTTGTTTTCAACACACTGGCCGCTATGTGTAACCTGAATTTGACGGCATAAGAGCAAGCCCAAAATCGGTCGTGGTCATCATCAATCATCAAAATCATGCAATGAAATAAAATAAAATAAAAATCAGTCCATTATATTCGTAGTGCTATACTTCTTAACGCTGTTTCTACTGTTTCATTCGATGCCACATCCTGTGTCCGATATGTTTGAACAGAATGAGCCACTTGTTTGCCTACACCTGCTTTATCGTATCCTGGCTGGATGATTTCGGGTCTACGTTTGAAAGCGGGAAGGTGTGTGATACAAGCTTGTATTGCCTACAGTAATCACGATATTACGAGAAAACTCCGAAAAAGGTGTAGAAACGAAAGCGAAGTGGCTCACGCACAGGCAATACCAGGTAATCACTAGTATCCAAGCTTAAAGAAGTTTACGATGGAAGGCAGCTCATTAGAAATCAAAAATGAGGTGGCCAGTGGCGCAGGGGTCAAGAAACCATGAGAAATTGCCCAGAACCCGCGAAATGGAACCCTTCTTCACCCATTGATTTCGGCTTTGATGCGTCTCTCGTCGATGCTGCCCTCCTCAACGCCAACGATTTTCGTGCTAAAGGGCTGACGTCAGACGGCGGGCGGGAGGCCGGGCAGGGACGGCTATGCCAGATGGCCGGAGAATACTCTTCGGTGAGAAACTGAGAAACGCTCATCGTCCGGTATCCTTATGGTTAAGGAGGATACCGGGGGGGGGGGGGCTTCTCGTGTCCTCCTAATTGACAGCGGCTTTCCATGTGATTGTATTGGAGTCATTGTCTGTCCGTGTATTCAGAGCCACTACCTGTGAGTTATTTGATCGGTTGAATAAATTATGAAGCAACACCAGGCTGGAGCAATTACGGTAGGCCTCGTTGAGCTTGACGTTGACAGCAGGTGACGTCACAACATTTGAAATATTTTAACATCCATCAACGGGGCGCCATATGCGACGAAAGCTTGGTGATATGCGCCATGGGCAAAATGACTTTTGCTCCTTTATCCCACGTTTTAGCCGTAAATTGCCAGGACGATGACAGCTACCAAGCTACGCTGGGCCAAATCTCTTTAGATAAGGTTCGATGGCATTACTGTTCCTCCGATAATTTCTTGATAATTATTCGAGTCTTTATTGATGAGCCATCTAAACGTTCTTATACTCCATATCTGGCCGTCTGATCAGGCGGGTCTACGGATTGCTAGAATTCAGCAAAGTGAGCTGGAAACAGCTTATCCATGCTAGTTCTATCAAGTGAGGCGGCCGCCACGTCAAATCCGCAGACACGCCTAATCAGACGGCAAGGTATGGACTGTACCCGTAGATCAGGGTGTCGTAAATGCAGCATCAGCAACATTCTTGATATCAGATAACAAAAGGACCAGCGAGAGGGAGAGAGCCATTCCCACGTGGTGCGACTGGTCGGGCAATTACTATACTTCAGACTACGAGAGACACAGTTGTGATTCGAACGAATAGCACCAATTTCCCGAAAGCGATTTCCGCGATTAGGGCGATCCTGAAACAGGCTGATCAAATTGCTGGAATCGCAAAGCCCTCTGTCTCAGGGTTAGTCAGGGTCAGTTTGGAGTTGGGTAGGGTTAGGATAGGGTTAGGTCGTGGGTAAGGATCAGGTCAGGGTTGTGCTCAGGAAAGGGTTACGGCCAGAGATGTGGGATAGGTCTTCGAAGGGCCAGCTCAGTCTTTGCTGTATCAACAATTCCAGCGATTTCCGCTATTCCAGGAATTTCAGCAATCGTGGAAGTCGGAAATCGCTATTGGCAGACTGGTGCCAGTCGCTCAAATCGCAACGTGATGCCGACATAGGCGCAAATTTATGGTTGCGTCAGTGATATATGGCAGATTTCCTCAAATTTTATGCAGGACAGTAAGGCCGCAGCAACAGTTTGCAGTCATCCGATCGTCAGATCGCACATGTAGGGTAGATACCAACCTATTGACCAAGCGATCGCACTATCGAATAGTCGATACGTTGGTTGTGCGATCGGATGATTGTACGCTATAACTGTAGCCCTGAGTTTGGTCATAGCAGGTTGATGCTTGCCGGGGAATAGTCCTGTCTGTTGCGAGGTGAAAATGCTGCTAGGCTACATCTGTAGTAGAAAAACTGAACTACACAGCTACTGAGGTAACACAAGCAGGTGGCTGCAGTTACATTTGGTATTTGAGACGCATAAGTGTTTGTTGAGCTTGCGCCCGTATCGCCAAGAAGTTTAGTTAGATCCGCTTGTTATTTGAGATGGTTACTTGGTTGTTCGCTCTACAATGCCTACTATATCTATTCCATTGGTGCTCTGCTCTGTTTTTTCATCTATAGACTTTCCTAATATTGTTTCATTCGAATTTCGTTGTGGAGAGGCTGTTTTTGCGGGTACGTGCTTCCTGCCTCGAATTTCTTCATTTTTCAGAACTTGGTTAATATCCTGGTGATCCCTCAGAATGGCACCTGTTCAAGTTCAGCCGGAACGGATCGAAGAGGTCATACATAGCCCTGTCGAGACCATCGCAAAGGGCATACGAACTGTTCTGCTTGGTCCTCCTGGGTCTGGAAAAGGAACACAGGCTCCCATATTGGCTGAGAAGTACCAGTCTTGCCATTTGTCCACGGGTGAGCTTCCGTTTTCAGTGTTCTCGAACAATAAGCAATTTCCAAGCAGAAGTTTGAAATGATGCAGGCGACTTGCTCCGTGCTGAGATGACGTCCGGATCCCCTCCTCGGAAAGAAAATTAAACAATATATGGACGATGGCAAGCTCGTCTCGGACGATATGGTCTGCGAATTGGTTGATGTCAATCTGAACAAAGATGAATGCAAAAATGGTTTCATTCTCGATGGATTCCCAAGGACGGTCGTCCAAGCTGAAAAGGCAAGAACCGTTCTTGTTTTATATAAGCGTTCTCTTATAGGGGGTGGGGGTGGAAGCAATTTGAAGTTGATCCTCTAAGCAGGGTCACTATTTAGCTCCTCTGCACTTCCTTGTGTGAATGTCCTTCTATGACTGATGCGATCTCGTACATTCCAAACTTTCACACCATCTGCAGCTCCTATTCATTGAGACAGCTGCAGATGCTTCTGATGCAGCAGAATGTCATTCTGTTTCGCTACCTCTCGCACATTTACTATATTTTTTTTACCCTTTCAGGCATTTCTTTCCTCATCGTCAAAACAACATCTATTTTGTCACTAATTTGTTGCACTTTAGCTCGACAGCTTGCTGGAGAAACGGCAAGAACCCTTAGATGCTGTCGTTGAATTCCAAATAGACGACTCTTTGTTGGAACGCCGTATTACTGGACGGTTATTCCATCTGGCAAGTGGTCGGAGCTATCATACTGATTTCAACCCGCCTAAGGTACGCGCCATGATAATTTCAATTCAGTCATCATTTAACCCATTGCGTCCCGTGGCGTTCTTTACTTGCTCAGCGCGTGGGACCAGCACCCGTTTAGGCCGGTGTGATACTTTGCGAATCCAGGGATTCGCTAGCAAATTATCCCTTACTGCATGAGACCCGAATATATTGTTACATAGAAGTTTGATGTTGTCGCCTAGGAGATGCTACTTCTTATCTACAAAGTGACAAAATGCTAAGAAGTCTTCTGCAGAAGTTTTCACAAAGAGCATCGAATGATTCATGATATTCTTCATATGGCGCAATCCCGTGTTTGTGCTTATTCTCCGGATTCGCAGCAAAAATAAGACCATAGAAAAATATTGAACATATCCTTGAAAAGGGGATGCTGCACTATGTACAGGCGCGACACAGAGCCGAATTTGTTTCTATACTACATGTAGCGCGCGGTACGCAATGGATTAATCTTGATTCCTCTTTTTTACGTTTATTTTATTTTCAGCCATATTTAGTTCAGGAACCTATGAAGGACGACGTCACCGGTGAACCACTAGTTCGACGTAGCGATGATAACTTAGAAGCGTTGCGGAAAAGACTGTCTGTCTACCATTCTATGGTATCCACATTTTTCTTATTTTCTCTATCTTTCGTGCTCCATTTGGCTAGCTTTTTGACGTCTTTCTCTGAAGCTCAGGACTCTTCAACAGATCCACTCTGCATGGAGCTGTTGAAGAGGCCACTTTTAAATTAGGTACCGCAAGCATGGGGTTCCCATATAAAGTCGAAAGAAGTCGACAAGTGGGTGCCGCCGACTGTCCTCTCCACTTTTGCGCAGTAGCATATTGCGCATCCGATCCTTCATATACTGAACCAAGCTACGGAACTTGGTTGCGAGCAGCTTTCTCACCAATCCCTAACCTCAAGACTATCACTTTTCCAACCATCTGGGTAAAATTCAGAGGGAAATGCTTTGACACCCAATACGATACTGAACGATCTTCACGAAGTTCATCGTATCCAGTATCAGCATTTTGAACAGCCACACTGCGTGAAGTCGTTTCTTATGTCAGGGGTTTCAGGATCAGAAACCACAAAAACTTCTGAACGACCTGATGAAATTCAGTTGCGCTATTCGATATTGCTGGATTCCCGTGTGGTGCACGCGTTAGTATGTCGAGACCAATTGCTATGTTCATGCTAATCGATACATTTCCAGACAACTCCGCTGATTGGATATTACCAAAAGCGTGGTATTCATACAGCAGTAGATGCAAGTAAATCAATGGCTGATGTGTCGTTAAAAATAGACCAAATATTCGCTAAGGTGGCTCTGAGAGAGCAGGTATGTTTTTTTTTTCTTGATGACGACATTGTGAAAAGGCTCTGAGTTGAGTCAGACTATCCTCGTAGTTACGTTCCGAAATGGGTCACAGACATACTGCGCGCGAGTTTGCCATTATATTTGCACAGAAATAATTTGCGGATGCTCTCCTACGAAGACGACGAAGGTTCCCTCTTTCCCTCCCTGTTCAAGTGCATAAATTGGTTCGTAGAACCCGAGAGAACAGCAAAGCGCTGAAAAAACTTGAGCGACATTCCGTGCGTTCGGTGCCGAAATGTGTTCTTGTTTTCTTCGTTGGAGGGTGACAAGAGCCCAGCGGTATTACACTCTGTTAAGGTACCAGGCTGCTTTCGGCCACCTTTCGTGAGCAATGATTGCCCACCGCTGGTATGTTGCGCCTCGCCGCCCACTATGTTTTCCCGTCTTCGTGTCTGTTCTCTCACCTGAGTGCCCACTATCTCTCCGTTGTAACACTCGTCCGCTGCCAGAAAGAAAGCACCCTATTTTCTTTTCGTCTATTCTCCATTTTCGGACTAATTACCACACTGCTGATTTGGGATTCAATTTTGAGAATCTAAGGCCGCTTTGCCAATGCGCGAATGAATTTCACGTACCGTGGCAACATATTATTCCAGTGATCTTTACTTTGACGTATTTCAATTTTTCAGGCTCGTGTTTCATTCGTATGAACAACTTCACCTAGCTGACAGGACAGATGCATTTCTTACCTCCAAGTTCTCGTGTTGTGAGGGGTTCTAGGTACAATACTAACCCGTAGCAAGTTTCATAGATTACTAACATTGACATATGTGCCACATGAATTTGTTACGTTTTATAAAGTTTATAAGCTGGTGCTGAAATGTTCTGTATTTCTCTTGCGTCATCATCACATTATACTTTCTTGGGGATCCGAAACCCTCATTAGTACTATACCTTCTTTTTGTACTTTAAGCGTTCAACAAAAGAGTGTCAAATGAAATGAAGCACACTTTGTATACAAATCACTTTAAGATGGGCCGTGCATGCAATTTATAACTGGATTATGTTTCAATAGCGGATGCCTCAACACCTGTCCTTCTCAGTAAAGTTGATATGCAGTGGAAATGAGTAAGGGACCACGTGCATTCATCATCGATGCATTTAAAGCCACTCTTCTTAAAGATCCCAGCCATGAGGAAGTTGCTCAGTTGTAGTGCAGCCCCTTTCACAATGGGGAAGCCGAAATTGACTGCCGTTGCCAGTAGCACGGCTAATTGGAAGCGGACAAGTTCGCTTAAGCGCTAGCCATAAGCACGGGTAACTGCGCAGAAATTATCGATGATTCAGCCCCAGTATTCGCAAATACTAGTTTCCGGCTGTAGCTGTCTGGCATTCTACGTAGGAGTAGTTGTTGAAGTTGGGAAGAGTGTTTTCATCAACTGCATTATCGATGAATTGCATCCGGCTAACTGGGACTTTCAGGTTTTCTGCATGTTATAGAGTACGTGCATGGAACATATGAATGGGATTTGTTTTGCTCAACTGCCCTGCGCATGCCAAAAAGATTGTGAAAATGTCAGGGAGAGATATGCATGCCCCAAGAGAACAGCTGAGCTTCCAGTTCCAGCTCCAGAGCTCCGGTGTTCCAGAGTGCCTAAAATCAAGTCCCAGTTTTCAAATGGCATCTGTGTGGTGCCTTGTCGGTGAGGTTGTTAGAAGCTGTGTGGCCCGTAGGAAAGAGGGCCCGGGCTCAGGAGGGGTAGCCTTTGTGGCGTGGTGAAGAGAGCCTCAGTGGCTCGTCAGAGAGGAGCCTTAGTGGCTCAGCTCGGTTGCTTAGTGTGCCCTGAGAAAGGAGGCCCTGAGTGCTCGGTGTTCGGCCTGAGTGGCTTAACAAGAAGAGCCTTCGTGGCTCGAGGGAAAGAGCCTCTTTGGCTCACGGAGAACAGGGATTGCACCGTGCATCTGGTTGCTGCCTTCGGCTCAGTGGTCCCGGTCCCGTCGATACAATCCGCCTCTGATCGTCCAGTGATTTTTATTACTTGCGTATTTATTGTTGATTTTTCTTATCTGAATAACCTTCCTTTCTACTTGTCTCAAGCACAGTTAGTAAGGCTTACTCCAACGTCGCAGCAGACGAATCCATCTTACCTTACAAAAATCTCTCACGACGCGATAAATTTCTCTATTTTGGCGTTTCGGGAACAGCTCCAGAAGTGAACTTCAGTTCTATGTTACATGCCGTGACCCGTATATATGCAAAAAAAACACTTTTGAGAAGCGCTCCACTTTTTCAACGATCTCCTTGAAGGCCATTAGGTTACGGGCAGTGGTCAACCAGCGCGTGAGAGTCCAGACAGAAAGCACATACTTTCTGCTTTTCTAGGACTAAGCCTTTTGAAGGAAGGAAAGAAAGCAGAGACGCTGTAATAGTGTGCATATGCGAGAGTGCCCAGAGAACACTACAAAACGCTGAATCACCAAGCCTTCGGTTGACCGCTGCCCTTGGACGGGCCCATTAAGCCATCCATCGTCCAAAGTTGATCCCACATTTGAACGGCAACAGTTGCATGGGCAATAGACCCTCCTCTGAAGTTATCGATTCCGATTCGGCACTTCAAAATAAGAGATGGGTAGCCCCTCAACCCTTTCAGCCCTGAATTTTTCTGTGGAGAAAAAAATTTCTTGCTATATTACTTGTGAGCACATTAATAACACTGTAACGAAATTTGGATGCTTTTCAACCTCAATTTAAGGAACTAGGAAGCTTTGAAAGTTGACATAGCTCCTTAGTCTTTTTAGTTTATAAAAAGCTAAAGGATAAAGCATTTGCCGTTGATCAATCCCTTTTTGGGATGCGGCACGCATTCTACTTCCATTTGTACATTCGTAGTGGCGTTTGAATGCGATGTGGCCTATACAATGACTTGCGGGGCCAGCCGATGAAGTCAGTGTTTTTTCCTCCCAGACAAGTCTGGTACCAATTAACCGACCCCGGAGGGATGGAAGGCTTGGTTGGCCCGGGCGACTCACGACCCAGGATTTGATCCCCGGACCGCTCGCGTGGTAAGCGTGCCACTTGCCACTACACCACTTCCGCCCAGTTTTTTTAGTTATGTCAAAAAAAATCCGGAAATTCGTAGTTATGTCGGGGAAGTTTGTTATCTTGCACAACAATATCCAACGTTTTCAGAACAGAATGAATATTTGTCATGAATTAGATATGACTGACACTTACCTAGCAGCTTGCTGAGACCAGCGCCGATTCATTGTTGCACTTGTACACAAATACTTGTAATGCTAACAGCAACACACAATGAAATGGCAGGTTCAAAGCATAATTAGGAAGGGGAAGGTTGACTGAAGCAACTCTAGCAGGATAGAGAAAATGCTGTTGCAGCGGTAATGCAGACCTTTGAATTTGATGGTGGCAATTGCCACCGCCAGGGCCGAAAGGGTTAAAGCGAGGACTTTGGTCAGTGAATGTGCAGCGTGGAAGCACTTGCACCAGTAGAAGCAGTAGCGAAGGGCAGAGGAAAGCGAGATATGGCCTTTTCGTGGCCTAGTCCAGCGTCCTAAGGCTGCCAATTCTTTCCGAGCTCCGCCTTCGCCTGCGCTCCGCCACCTGTGTTGCCAGTAGCAGTATCGTTCATTTTCCACTTGGAAAGTTACTTCGCTCTGAGTGACCGTATCCTCTGAGTTTTCTGTGGACTCGATCGATCAAAGATTGGTAGTCGTTGGCAGGAAGGTGGTTACCGGGTTGATAAACGCAAATGATCCAGTTAGGCAGTTACTGGCTCGCTCATCGTCGGAGATCAAGGGGCAAATGAAAGGATATAAAATTTTTTTGCGTGTCGACGGATTTATTTGCTTTCCCCTTCGGGGCATTATTCAATCTCCCCACTTCCACTGTAAATCCAATCCAATCTTATCGTAATCCTTTGTTTTAATGTGCCCTGCTTCGCCATTCCTCACGCAGGAACTCGACGTTCTTCTCGGAGAACTTTATTAACTGTCGGCTAGCAAACTAGGACTTCTAGAACCAGAGCTTCTTGTAAGCTCAGGTCCTTTCTCCTTCACAACTTGCCGCGTGGACTCGGGTTAGCAGCCCACCCATGGAGTCTGACAAGAGTTGTCTAGCGGAAAAGTCAAAGAGTGCTCTGTGCGTCGCAGTTTTTTGCTCGTGAAATTTTCTGGGAAAAACACCTAGGCCTTCGTATAGCCAGGTTTATCCAAGGAAGTTTGCCAAATCAGTGCACGATTTGATGTAAGTGGGTTTTTGTTCGCGAAAGCCTGCCGTAGCCAATTGAGTTGGATTCAGCTCCTATGATGTAGAAAATTCACGTGCACTCACGAATTTGGGTTGATCATTGTTCAAAGAAAAGACTCGAGTAAGAAAACAAAAGGTTATGGCCTAAGAGTGGTCACTCCTATACTACTGGACGTCCTCTTTCGACCAAATCCAAAATGCTTGTGGAGATTCGAAGGCGGCCGAGTGGAGCGAGAGTAACTCTGTGCGACATTTATACTGCAACAACCTAATAGCAAACAGAGGTGATTCCATCCTGAGCAAGTTGTTCCAGAATTCCTGTGAAAGGCAATTATTTTTCCCAGTAGAATTTATCCATGCACACAGCTGCAGAAGGGCTGTTCCGACTATAGTCACCCAACGTAGAGCGATTTGCTTGCCCTAATTCCATCTCACGGGCCGCGCAACTAGCAACTAACACCTCAAGCCTTTGTGCCACTGCAGGTTACGATTTCACATGATTAAAGGACGGCATGAGTCTCTTGTTAGGAATACTTCACAGCGTTCCAGGATGTGTCATCAACCATACTATCCGTTTTTCTAACATACATGTTTTAGGGAAATGCGTACGTTGAAAGTTTCTGCTTAATTATGCGAAATCAATGGTACATCCCATTAAACAGCATGTGGTGCGGGCTTCAAATATAAAGCTGCTCCATGGGCCACATTTTTGAAGAAAAATGAGGAAACTGCCGAAACATTCCAATAGATCAAATCCCTTTTTTGCACCGGATGGCATAATCGAAGAATGTGAGCCCCGGATGAGGAATTCTGACGACATAGGAAAGAGGCCAGATAGAAATGGGATAGACTCAAATGTTTCTAGAAAAGAGAAAGTTGTGAAAAACCTTCTCATTTGCACGTTGCCCCCCGCTCTCCCAGGATCTCATGCCCTCGCAATCCTGGAAAAGTCGCAAGAGTCAATGTGCGTGTGAGAGGAACTTCCACAACTTTCTCACCCTCGAATCTTTGGCGCACCGCTCGAACCGGCGGCGTACCACTTGCACCCCGCGATTCGTTAGATTCGCCAAGTCTGACCCCGGCCTCTGCGAGGTGAAGCGGCCGCGCACGCCTAGCTGCGCTCGTCCACGCGGTCAAAAAATGTAAACGCGCGCAGCCGTTGGTGAGCAACCAGAGCCATATCATTGCAAGGAAGACACTCCCAGCTATACGGTACTGATAAGTGTACGCTCCACACCTGTCGAAGATTCTGGAGCAATAATTCACAGATGCGGTCGCTAGCTGCCGGCGGTTGTCATGAATGTTCTATCTGAATTGCATTGAACATCAGGGTTTTTGTGCGTCTCGACCCTAATTCGAATTTAGAATTCATCATCTGGGCTCTGCATAGTAACGCATGCTTCGCATGAAACTTAAGTGATGCGGATCGGAGCTACCGTGGTT